TAAATTACATGTTTTACTCGGCTGTATCTTCATTTTGAAAGACATCACATTTCTTTAGTTTCTATAATGATTCAATGTATTTCTCTGGTTGATGTGGGCTATATTTGCAAGGTTTAACATTTTCTGGTGTGCATTTGTCCCTTTATATTCAATCTCAGTACACTATCATCTCTGTGAATAAAAGCTGTAATAAATAAAATTGGATTGTTTGATTTAATGAAAAGAACAAAATCGAAGCGCAGAATTTAATCTCAGAAAAAAGCGAGGCAGAAACAGACAGTACCTAATCTGTAAAGTGGGTTTCCACAGGCTCTTGAATTATAATGAAGCTACACTTCTAAATTCTTACTTCATGTTTCTAATACATGATAATGTAATTAATCAATCATGCTTTTAACATTTTTTTCCTATATCCTGATATTTTAAACCCCAGAAGTGGGTGTGCTTTCTTTTTACCGTGACAGTAGAGATGATATGATGATGTGATGCTCTTTGGAGATGCTACCTAAAGTTATCGTTAAAGCCATTATAATTTTCAGTGCCCTGTAAGCATCGAATATAACTTGTGCTCATGTTAAAATTCGGTAGACACTAACTCAAAAGCTATAACCTGCTTTTGCTGCCTCTAAAGTGGAAGCGATTACCATCTCAGTGGGGGCACAGTTATACTGGTTCTCGTCAAGAAGTGTCTTAATGTCTCTGCAGCCACTTCTAAATGCAGCTGTTAGCCTAGGCAGCTTTCAGCATTTTTTTCGTCCTTCCCCATCTAATTTACCACTCTGGTTTCCTCATGAACCCCCCCCTACACCCTGCATGCTCAGAGAGCTATTTTTTCTCTTTAAGTACAGCAATGGCTTTGGCACAGCAGGCTTCCTCACAACCCGAACACACCGCTGACCTTCAACATGAAAGAAGAAACTTAGAAGTGATTTTGTCATGATGGTTTTTATTGGGATATGACATGTAAATAGATGCACATCATAGTAGAGCTGAATAAATATAAAGTAATTCACCAAATCTACTTTAGCAGTATGAGAAATGTATAAAAGACAGATACAATATAGATTTCATTAAATTCAGTTTCCTAAAACGCTTTATTTAGAGCAACTACATAACGACGTTCCGGCAGGCTTTATTTCGTCCCCTGTCATCCTTTCCCTGTGCTTTGATAGTGATTGTCCAGACCCACACATTCACACAGTTGGCAGAAAACTGAGGTCTCTGTGTCCTGTGATTATCTGCAAACTTCTCTCGGCACGATGTGGCTGCACTATTGCTTGTCCCTCAAAACACTGGCAGCCAATGAAAGTTGCTCAGTGATTGAAATAAAAAAAGAAAAATCACACAGTCAAGTTGAGATTTTCTCCTAATCATTTGGAGCATGGTGGACAGAGTGGAGGAACAAGCACAGAATATCTGAAAAAAACAACAGAACTTCCTACAGATAATATTGCTGTTAATTCAGAATTGCTATGTTGAGCTTTTTTGTAAGATTTATAGCTTATAATTACAATAAAAGCAACAATAAGATAAATAAATTATTTAAAGATGTCATTTGCAATTTTGTTTTGTCTTTACCGCTGCTCTGAGTTATTCTAGACAGGCTATCCTACATACATTAAAGTTGGTGAAATACATTTTTACTTTGTTGAAATTAAAACCAAATTTCATCCCTTGTTAACAATTTGGGAAAGCCAAAATAATGACTTAATGGCCTCTATTTACTTTACAACATTGGAGTTACAGTAAATAGAGACACATTTGTGGATGTATTTTAGGTCACCACCGCAAAGACACTTCTTTTCTGGGTAACATCATTGAAAAAAAGGAGAAAAACCAAATCTGTTTCCTCTTGTGGAACAGTTTCCAGACACCTAAAGTACGCCAATGATCTGTTCAAACTATTATACAGAAGAATGAACACCATTGGGATGTCAAAACATGCGACGGGTTCTGTATCCCCGAGATTAATGTGTTTTTGGCACACAGTCTGCAAATCATTCACAGAACAAAAGCTAGAAACCTTGTGAGGATGTTGAATTAAGCTTGTAAAACTTTGCTACTCACAGTGAGACAAATTTTTTATCGACATGGGCTTAAAAGGCCCTTCTGAGAGGAAAAAGATCCAATATTTCTAAGACAACAAAAAGCTCATATATCATGTGCAGATGCCTTCAAGGACATAAGTATATTTTCATTTTGGAGACATGTCCTGTGGTCTGATGAATATAAAACTGAATTATTTTGCCAGCATAAAAACTGTTACATTTGGTGGATATCTTGCAAGCCTAAAAACATCTTCCCAACTTTGAAGTACAAAATCATAATGAGATTTAATTCCCTTAAAATCTATGTTTGTTCTGTAAGCAAGATGACCTACAGGAAAGCCATATCTGCCTGAAAGATTGGGCCAAATTTCAAGCCAACTGTTTTAAAAGGCTTAAGGGGCATAGTCAGGTTATATTCCAACACATAAAATACCTAAAAACATTTGATCACAATAATGTAAGGTAATATTAACTAGGCCTACTGTATGTCCTGATAGTGTTTACACAGTCCTTTTGAGCCTAAATAGAATTTCTGAAGTGGGAGCAATATGTAGACAAAGCAGAGGTCTACCTGCAGCTGGAGCAATCAGAAAGTTCAATGGCGACTATTGTCCCAGCTGCCTTATAGATCCTGACTATCCAGCAATATCTGCAAAGCTACAGCTTGACGAGATCAAAGACCAGCCAATATCCGTTTAACAAACCAATCTACAGAAACATTAAAGAATAAAAAAAAAATCACATTTCTGCCAAATGCAGCATCATGGGAAACACGTTTTTTAGTTTAAATTAATGAAAAAAAGGTCACATGTTAAAATATTTTTTTTTTAAATTATTCTCCTGGTAAGTGGATTGTTGATGAGCCTTGAAATTAATATGATCTTGAATAGACTTTTGGGTTCTAGCAGCTGGGACAAAAAAAAAGACAAGCTTATCTTTCAGTAAAACATTTTATGCAACCAAAGTTAGCTACTGGCATATATATTTGAAAAGTCATATAACGAGACTATGTCCCATAAGGTAGAAAATCCAAACCATATAAGGCTTAACAGCCGAGTTTGCCCAAAAAAGACAGAAAAGCAAAGTTTAAAGATAAATAAATAAAAACCTCTTAATAATGTTTCTGTATCTCATTGATAATACATACATATACAGAGATAATCAGTTTATCACACCTCCCTTTTGTGACTCAAGGTTAAATTTATTCGGACAAAAATATAAACAGGTTTTTTCTACTTCATAGACTCACTTTTTAGCCATGAACTTACATAGGGTCTGTGGTGTTTGGGCTTCATGAGAACACAGTGATGGTCACATGGTTTCAGTAGGCTGCAAGCGGCAATATCCAGAACAATCTGCCATCAGCATGAAGGTACAGAGATGTACAGATAATCTTGGATCATTAGATTCATTTTCATGCTTTAAAATACAAACTGAGGATTAAGATCTCAAGGGTTTTGAGAAAATTGGTCATATGTGTATTTGAGTAGCTTGCTGGATAAAACTATGGGTGCAAATGAATTAAATGACAGCAAACGAAAAATCTATCAGAGACCTATGAATCCAAAATGTCTCGATCAGTACCCAATCTGATATGATGGCTACAGTTGGCACCAAACTAATAATAAGAAATTTAGGTGTATATTATCCACTGGACAGGTTGTCTGATGCACATTTTGTGCTTTTGAAGTATTTCTGTTTTTCTATGCTAATCAAATTATATATTTGTTTTTCAGGAACTAAATAATTTGACTGTAATTGTGGCATCCCCAAAAAACTCTGGTCTCACACTGGTTGTGGACACACATTTGGTCGATACACATTGTTTTCTTTTATTTTTTATCTAAATATGCCTGGAGTAGGTGATTTTTTTTCTACTGATGATCATCTATCAAAGCTCATGGTAGTTTGTAAAGTTTGGAGATGAAATGAGGAACGTCTTCCGTTGGCTGCAGCGTACACAAACATCAGAGCATGTCCACAGCCTCCCAGCTTATTTATTCTTTAAGCATTTTATTCCAGTTAGATACACAAATAGACCATACTTTCATCACAGGCAGCATGTGCTGCAGAAAGTCACTGCTGGTTAAAATCTCACATTGGTCCTCTCTGTGACTGCAGTATTATGATGACTTCACTATGTTTTTTACACTTCCTCAATAGCTGAAACTTTGTCATTGACTCATAAATGTCTCCCCTGACAACGATTGAGCCTCAATCACTGGTATCATATATACTGAATAACACTCCTTTGATATGTATCAGGAGTCATATTACATTGCTTTTCTGTTGTTTTTAAATTGCTTTTTGTACATGTGATCACTACTCTACCTCAATCGGAGAACAGTTTGCCTGCTAAAATGACTATCGTATAGATGGAGATGACTGAGATGACTTCACTGGGACAGAAATAAGGCGCTCTCTGTACACTAAAAGTACAACAGACATTTTTTTTTCTTTTTCTACATTTTTTTTATAAAAACAAAAACAATCTGGTTGCCAAATGTTAATAACTGCGAATCAGTGAGTTAAAAGTGAAGTTTTGTTCATTTTTCCTTGATTTGCTGTCTAGAGCTGAGACTTGTACTTAAAACCTCACACAGCTTAATTTATAAATCTGATAAATTGCCTTAAATGTCCCTAAAGGGGAGCCAGTTTAAAATTTGGCACATTTTTGTTTCATTTCAAACTTTTGGTATTATTAGAGCATGATGCTCTGTCAAAAGCATGAACCTATTAAGCAATAAATATGTCTTAAGAGGTACAAACAAACCCATTTTTGAAAGCATAAAGATCCTTAAAGTCAAATTTATGGTTAAACTTAGTGTCAGAGCAAAACATCCACAGAGCTATGAAAGCTGAATCCACTCTGGGTCCACATTTACCCTTTTCATCAACTTACATTAGATTTGCACTAATTTGCACATTTTCGTAAAAGTGTTTTTTTTATGTTTTTTGTGAAACTGGGTTAAATTTGTACCTTTATTATATTTACCTTTAATCACCTTATAGTTTATAGTTTAGTCAGAGCTGAGCAAGCTTAGTAGGTCTTTGCAGCTCATTACAGTGCCTGGGCATAAGCTCTCCGGTTTCAGCCTTTTCATAAAGAGAAATGCACCTTCCACATAATTAGCGTGATTGTTCGACATAACCAGTGTCTGAATTAAAATGACTCAAATCAAAACAATCCTGCTTTTAGTAAATTTTTCAAGTCAAAGATTACAGACATGTTCTTTTCTTTTCCAGCCCCTAAGTGTTTGGAGATTCACAGTGAGTTGGGCGGCTGGATCAGTAAGAGCATCGCGGAGAAATCCAGCCCTTCATTAATATTGGTAAATCATGTATTGGGTCAAAGGCATCTCAATATCCCTTCTTGTTTCTTTTCAGTCTTTGGGAGCTGTTTTTTTTTTTTTTTTTTTCTCTCCAGGCGCCTGACAGTGGTTTAAGGGATGATGGGCTAAACAAGGTCCTAAGTAACGCATTGAGTCTGATCTGTCTTTTTGTTTTGTCCAAAAGATAGCCACAAAAGTCAGAAAACGTGAAAAGAAGAAAGGCTTGCCTCCGATGGTTTTGGGTATCAAATAGGTCCTTCCAGTTAGATCATTACATCACCTGTTAGAAGCTCACCAAGGCGTAGACCATACTGTGGGAGGGAAAGTAGACAGAAGTTACCAGGATGGAAGTCATACAACAAGAGGCTTTACTGAGCTGGAACTAGGGCTGCAAAGTGCTGGAAAGATAAAGTCACATTTTTTTAATGTTTCACAAATATTTTGATAGTGTTCCAAACTGTAAACCTGCTGTAGAAGCTTTGTAAATCAATAAAAAATTTATAAATTAATTTAAATAAACTGAATTAAATTCCAAATTCCAAATATAAATCTAAGCGATTCATGTCATACATATACACACGTCCATGCAAAATAATACATTGAATAACCTTATGTCAACTAATATATTTTTTCAGTATTAGTAAAATTTGTTTTAATTTGGCAAACTGTTATCTCTGTCACTGAACAAAAAAAAAATGTTTATTACAATATTGTTTTTTTTCTTGATTCCTGATGTAAAATCAAACCACACCTAAAAGAAGAAAAAAAATCCCACTAAATGAAAAAAAACACCACCCCTTGTAAAAAAAAAAAAAAAAAAGTCCTATTCTAATGTAAAAGCAAATGTCTAGTGTAGTCTCTCTCTTTTTTTTATCATATTTGGGCATTTAATTACATTAAAATCCATTTGAAATTATTTAACAAATTAAAAAAAAGATACTTCTTCTAAAATAATAATATACATAACAGGATGTGAACATTCCTATTCAGCATTTTGAATGAATTTTGCCCTGTTTATCCTTTAGACATGTGGTCTACTGTGTTGCTGACAGTTAAACTGAGATAACACAGAGGAGAGATCAAAGGGCTGTTGGAGGCCTTTAGGAATAAGGTGTCATATCAGCTCTGAAGCATAGAAGTGGAAGTGTCATGGTTTGGGAACTTTTTAACTGCAGCAGGTTCCGTCATAGAATCCACCATGAATAATAACATGTATCAGAGGGAAATATGAGATCAACTGTGAAATTATCAATGTGGAAACACCATAGTGTGGTGTGGAGGCTGCAGCGCCTCAGACTGGAAGAACGTGAGAAGAGTGGTGAGAACATCAGAGAGGATCATCAGGGCTCTTTTTCCCTCTATTAAAGACATTTCATACCAGCGCTGTGTGTCCCGAGCTCGTAACTTAATCAGTGACCCCTCAATCCCACACCATGGACTGTTCTCCCCGCTGCCCTCTGGGAAGAGGCTTTGCAGCATTCAATGCAGGACCAGCAGGTTCTGCAACAGCTTCTTCCCCTCTGCCATCAGACTGTTAAACTGTGAAACTCTAAACTGGACACTAAATCACAGTTGCAACATCATATTTGCACTACTAACATGGCTGATTTTTTTTTAGAATTCCTTTAAATAGAACACACCTCAAAGTTCTACTGTTTTTTGCAGTAGAACTTCCATTTTACTGTCTTTTGCACCATTACTTTTAAACTGGTTTCCTTTTCTCCTACACTGTTTACATTTTTGATCACTGCTGCACTTTATAAGTGGTAATGTTCTTGTCATCGATGTTAGCGGTATGCAACAACATTTGTTTTGTATACACTCTGTGTATACAAAATTACAATAAAGTTTGTCTAAGTCTAATTATGACAATAACCCGAAATGTAATGTAACAAAAACTGGCTGAGCATCTAGAAAAGTGAGGTTCAGGGCCAAATCAAAGCCCAGGTCTCATCACGATGTTGTGAGGTCATGTTAGACTGGCTGTAAAAGCAGCAAACTCCTCAAACATCTGGCAGCTTGACCTGAAGAGTGGAGCATCACCAGGCTGCTGTGGATGGAAGTTTCTACTGAAGATTTTTCCACCAAAAGAGCACAACAATAGCTCTTAGGGGGTTGGAACTTTTTTTTAATTAAAGATTTTTTTTTGATGAGTAAAGGTTGACTTTGATTCATCAGCAATAAAATCAATGTCTTTTTTTCTAGATCTCCACACTTTTTTCAGAAGACCTCCACAGAAGAAAATCCCCCCTTTATTTTCCTACTCACCTGTACAGGTAATAGAAGAAGGAGAGCAAGTAGAAGCCCAGCTTACACCAGGACTCCTTCTGACAGTAGTTAAGAATGTCAGCATTCATCACGCTGACGGGATCGTACATCACTTCTGATCCGTCGGCTGGCCGATGAAAAAACCTGAAAGAACAGCAAGTTCTGCTCATCCACTCAAAACTCTGTGAGCAGACATCTGCTGTGGGACCGTACCTCCACAGATGGTAGAAGAGCAGCGGGATATTTAGGCCAAGCGTGACCCACTCTCCAGCACACATGAACATCAGGCAGAAAAGGCCGTGGATGGAGTACTCTGGTACCACCAACTGGTTAGAACAGACACAGGGACTCTGTTTTACATATTTGCCATGTTACATAGTGAACACTTTTTGGGAAACCTGCATTGCTTCTTAATGTGATACAACTATATAGTCGTAGCATGTAAAGTCCCACTGTGAGGCAAACACCTTCACACTGGAGGTGTTAAAGTTAGTCATGACAACTCGCTGCTGCAAAAATATACCAGGAGGTATATAGACCTGATTTTAATTTAATAAGGTTGTAAAAATCCCACAAAATGTTTTTAAAACACATTTAAAAGCTGCTTGCTTACCTCCATAGCAAACTAAAAACTCCCAGTGATTCATCATCACTCATTGTAGACACGTATAAAAAACTCAGAGGGTTTTTTTGTTGTTGTTTCAGACTTTTAATGCCCCAAAGAAACTGGCACAATAAAACTGCCCTGTCTGTTAAAGGTATAGAGGACGATCTTTTATTTCTGCTTGGATCATCTAAATAAGTGGTCCTCCTAATTGTCAATCATTCTGTTGATATGTTTAGGAAAGGCCACCATGGCTATCTTTTTCTGCGCATGCGCACTTTCAGGCATATATGTGTGGTGAGCTACGGTTTCAGCCAGTCATTAAAGCTCACCTTTCCCCCTGGGGTTCTTTGAAAATGGCCAAGGGTCGTAAGAGAAAAAGTGTCTTTGAAGTGTATGAGAAGAAAAGAGAAGCCTCAGAAGAGGCTGATATATCCCAGAATGCTTTGCACAGAGAGCTCTGCTCGCAAAGCATTATGGGATTTGCTGTCACAGCGGCCCACAACAGTGGCGACTAATGACAAAGATGGTGCAGGCACCGAGCGGTGGAGGGGTGACCAATGGGGAGTGAAACTTAGTGATCATGTGTCCAAACGGTCAATCCCCGCTCTATATAGTGATTGAGGGATTTAATAGACAGCCCTTAAATAGACAGGGATCTAGCACGCATTTAATAGGCGTTCCCTGTGGGAGCGGGTACAGGGTTGTGTCTGTGCTTATTTTTTCAAAGTGGAGAGGCTTTTAAAAAGCCTTTTAAAAAATTTGTGATAATCCTGCACAATACCTTTAAACAATGCTTCTAATTATGCATCTGTTTGTTTATCTAATTTGTCGGTTTCTAACCTGATCCTCTTTGTTTGAGCTCATGAAATAAGTATCCTGTTGTTGAAACAAAACCCTGCTGATCAGTGGAAACACAACTGGTGATGTTATAGAGCACAGGGGCCTGCAGATAATAGTGAGGGGAGCAGAAGAGTTCAATATAGCCTCCCTACTCTCAGTTTGATGCAGCAGTTTTTGATGATTGTCCAACCATGGCTGTGAGCCGCTGGACTCCTGCTAAAGGCTCCGTACTCTTTAAAACCCAAAGAGCCATTTAGCCCTGAGCCCAGCCAAATAATAACCATATAGAGCCACAAATATTAGATTAACTTTTAATAAAACTCAACTTATTTTTGCTAATCATCCTCTAACTGTATTAAAACTGATTTAATTTTAAACAACAAATTGTTTTTATGTAATTTTTAAGCTAGTGACAAGAAAAATAGACATAAGAGTATGGCTAGAACTTTAATGTCTTTCTGTTGTCAACATTTAATTGAAATATTCTTAAAAAAGCTTCTAAGAATGGTATTTGTTGTTAAACTATATTCAAAACTATAAGCTGGTTATTCGTCATTATTAGACACTATAAAGGTCCAAAGAACCACTTGTGGCTCCGGAGCCACAGGTTGCAGACCCCCCGTCCACCTTAGCCTGTCTAAATGCAGAGTTTCTCTTATTCTATCTATCCTTTGTTTTGCTGATATACCTTTTTATCATATATTTTTTTTTTTTTAAAGAGTCCATATCACTTATCAACTTCTTTGCACTTTTAACAATATTGTAAAGTTATTCATGCAACAAAATCATCCCCAAAGTGGTATTTTGCTTGATTCATGCATGTCTGAGTAACGTTTTATGTGGAGTAGTGATCAACTGCCGCCTCCAGGAAGTAACTACCTTGACGTCGCTTGCCCAGTAAACAACATTCCCACTTTCTCTGATTAGAGATCATTCATGTGAGGGAGGGCATGATCGTTTGAGCTCAAAGTGGAGATGAAGCAGCTCTTTTAACACAATGGCAGTGCAATTGATCACATTTGATGTATAATTGCAAATTAAGATAAAAGTAAATAAAAAAAGCGTGATCACAGAGGCCCTTGTCTTTAAGTGTTATTATATATTCAACCAGGGTAATAAACCAACTTTCTTACACCAGCCCTATAGATGGCCATATTTTGTAACTATTTTTTATTTATTTTTTTGCAACAAAAAAGTCCTGCAAAAATGGACTCTGGAGGAAAGAGGATTAATTTTAAACAAAAAAAAAAACTTGCAGCCAAATTAGGATATGGCTGTGGTAAGTGATATGGAAAATGAACATTAAAAAGAAATACTGGTTAAAAATATTGTAATTTTGATATTTAATCAAATCTGCACAGTAACTTTGAATATTTGTTCTTTTGGCTGTGAAAGGTCTCAGACTATGTTCTCAGCAAAGATCTCCAGAGGAGGAATGTTGCCATGCAGTAAATAAATGCTCCAAGTCATGAATTTACAGAAAACCCACAAATTCTAAGTTGACTTCAGAAGGCTTAAAAAGCATGATATAGGAAAACCCCCAGAAAAAAATGTGTCTTGTATTGTTTGTACAGTTTACTATGCTACAAACGTATATTTCAAAATACAATTAACTGATTTTAAATAAATAAGGAAACTTCAAAGTTGTGGTCAGAACTAGGAAACAGGCTAATGAAACATAAAATAGAGGAACACAGGTGAAATTATCAACAAAGGGCTTTCAAATGCAACAAGGTGCCATGTAATAAATGTAACTAAGAAAATGAAAGCTTCAAAGAAAAAATAACTGACTATCATACCTGGGACGGAAAAGTGAAGCGAAGGAAAGCCAATGTTTCAGGATTACCAGGTCAAAGTGAAACTGAAAAGCATACCGTCACGCATCTCCTCTCCTGCAGCAGTCAAGGTTAACTCAAATTACATTGTCATGGTGGCAACAATGTTAAGAAGTGCTTCATCTAAATTCTGGAGGAGACGATTGGTTAAACCACATACTACAAATACTATCTGTATATCAAATACGATCTGATATCCAGCATAATGGATAGACCTATTCAAGCATTCAGCTATCAGTCAGAATTATAGCTTTTTTTTTTTTTTTAGAAGCTGCATATCTGCTTGGGTACATCTATACCAGCTATAACATGAAAAGCTTTCGATTTACCTTTAAAAGGAAGTACCTGTTGGCATAGCTTAAGCCATGCTACAGACTCTTAATTGGATTTAGATTTGGACTTGGACTAGACCATACGGACAGATGTTTTGATCTAAACCTTTCCACTAGAGCTCTGGCTGCGTGATGTAAAAATAATCCATCATCTAGTAGTAGTGTTAAAGAACTGCCTTTTTAAAAATATTTGAGTAATATTATGATGAATATCACTACTTGTACTTCGGCTAAATTTTTGTCTACTATACCGTCAGCAAGTACCTTCACTAAAGAAGAACAGCACGTTTTAACAAAAAAATTCACCTGTTTCACTTCTAGAGTTTATGTTAAAAGGAGATTTCTTGTTCGTACACAAGCTTTGTGGTTTTTATAGTATTTTCTATCCACAGTAAGAAGCACATTACCCTGTTCTATATACTATAAGAAAAAAATATTAGGAAAAGGGTTTCTTCTGTCTGAAGTTATTATTATCTAAATATAATTTATTGGTATTGTTTTCTTTTACGTTAGTCTGTAAAATATCAATATTCAGAGATAACCTTATATAAAATGGATTGATTACATCATTTTGGATTAATTAAATTAAATTAAATTTGATGTTTCAATTAGTTACTTTGGTTGAATAGCTGTTCTACCAAATACTTTTGTAATTTTAATTCCATGTTTGTTTTTATGATGATTTTTCTCTTTTACTTGAGTAAAAATATGTTTTCCTATTCTTATTTGAAGTCATCTATCCACCTTTGCTTATTCTAGAGTAGAAATATATATATATATATATATATATATATATATATCTATGTAATATATTGGAATTTACAGTAGGAATCCATTTCCTTTAGAGTATAACATCATTTACCAGCTAACCACCAAAGCACTACAATAACTTCTCAATTTGAATTATATATACATATATATATATATATATATATATATATATATATATATATATATATATATATATATATATATATATATATATATATATATATATATATATATATATATATATATATATATTCTGATGACCTCCAGATTTAACATGCTTTCAGCAACTGAGCTTCCATCTAATGTATTTTCAAAACTGCATAAAGAACAACTTGAGCTCTCAGAGACCTTAAGCTTTGTCTTTCTTTCTCAAAGCCTCCAGACAGATAAGACCTTGATGGTCCTGCCGTCACCACCTGAATGATGCGTCTTGAGGACAGGAATATATGTGAATCGCAGTATAATTATGACAGTACTTAGAAAAAGACAAGTGATCTTTGTGGTCTGAAGCCTTTCTTAGTCATCCACCCCCCAAAGGTGAAAACCAACTATTACTCACTTTGCGGAGAAGGTTGCAGATCCGTTCGATGTTTAAGATCCTTTCTCTCTGTAAGGTGGATGTAAAGAAAACACTGGTCAATAGTCAGCAAATTACATGACTTTACTAATGATATAAATAGTTAAAAATGGAAACAACACCTCTTTGCTTGCTTTTTTACATTCATTTTTTGCATCTTGGTGAAATATGTTAGGTATTCATGCGATAGATGATGTAAAATTACTCACTGAATCCTAAAACATCACTATTTTACCTCAAAATCACATTTTCAAATAATCAAATGAGGTCACAGATCTTTTGTATGTGTGTTTTTCTTTAGTTTTCAAATGGTCCAGAAAAGCCTGGATTGATTGCAATTGTCAACCAAAAATGCACTCGATGTTTAATGGACTGTGATGTTTTGGTGCAGTTGTTTTGGCTGGTCGAACTAACAGCCCTCCTGTGAGTAATAACACAAGGCTCATTACGAGCTCCGATATGAAGCCTTCCATCTTTTACGGCATTGATTTACAGCATTGATTATCTATCAGACAACTTCCTGTCATCAGGAAGTTTAATGTAGTTTTTCATTCATAAGCCAATATTAAGAAAATGTGTTTTGCTTAAAGAGATTCAATTTAATGAAGAGAGTAAAATACTATTAGTTCAATAAGCAACATATGGTTCATCTTTTTGATTTTTTTTTTTTTTTTTGGTGGTTAAATAAGTAACATCAAATGAAAAAGAACTTGCCCTGTTCAATCAAGAATGTCTGAAATTCCCTTTTATTTATAAAACTTGGCTCTTTTTTCCCACTCAAGCTTCTGTCTTGTGTTGAAGCCCCTTGATGTCTGCTCCCTTTAGTTGCTTTTTTGAAATTGTGGACAGACGTTGAGAATCCCCTGCTGACCTCAGAGTAAATTCTGCCCTGAATCTTCAGCAAGATATCAACTATCAAGCCTCAGCATAGTCTTCCTGATTCCCTCCTTCTCTAGCACCATGCCCCACATCCATTAGCAACACAGAGCTTTAACATCTACCAATCTCCGTCCACCAGGTAGATGCATTATACTGCGTATCATCTGGTTTAGTATTGGAGCGATAAATTGCTGTTTTACTGCAACTTTATTGCCTATCACTACCCCAAGGTGCCCTTATTTGTGTCGGGTCATCCACGCTCAATGGGACCAGATCCAATAATGAAACCAAACAGGGAACATTTATCAGAGGCGATAAAGACATTACACAAAACAAATGAATAAAGGGAAGAAAAAGGGTGAGGCAAAGACATTAAAGATTTTATTTCTACTTATTACAGTACATATGAATAATTAATGTTCACTATGGAATTGATCCATATATCAGTTTGGTTCTGTCAATTTAAAAATACATGTTGAACCACCACTAGGGGCTGTAATGAGAGCAGGTCTGGTCTGTCTTTCAAAGTATTGTCATGGGGCATTTCCTTTGTAATCTAATGTTGAATTATACTTGTTCCCACTAGGAAATACAGCAAGAATCAAAAGTTAAAAAAAAGTAGTTTAGAATCGACAGGCTCGACAGCTACAGATAAGCCACTGCTCTAACAGACAGCTCCATAGAAGATGGCTGATGCGACAACAGAGTCATAGAAGGTCTTTTGGAGAGCCCCCTGGACTCCAAAAGACCTCAGTCTCCTCAGCAAGAAGAGTCTGCTCTGACCTTTTCTTATACAGGTGCTGGTCATAAAATTAGAATATCATGAAAAAGTAGATTGATTTCAGTAATTCCATTTAAAAAGTGAAACTTGTATATTATATTCATACATTACATACAAACTCATATATTTCAGATGTTTATTTTGTTTAATTTTGATGATTACAAATGACAACAAATGAAAATCTCAAATTCATCATATCAGAAAATTAGAATATTACTGAAGACCAATAAAAACAAAGGATTTATAGAAATGTTGGCCAACTGAAAAGTATGAACATGAAAAGTATGAGCATGTACAGCACTCAGTATTTAGTTGGGCCTCCTTTGGTCTGTATTACTGCAGCAATGCGGCGTGGCATGGAGTCGATCAGTCTGTGGCACTGCTCAGGTGTTATGATAGCCCAGGTTGCTCTAATAGTGGCTTTTAGCTCTTCTGAATTGTTGGGTCTGGTGTATTGCATCTTCTTCTTCACAATACCCCATAGATTTTCTATGGGGTTAAGGTCAGGAGAGTTTGCTGGCCAATTAAGAACAGGGATACCATGGTCCTTCAACCAGGTACTGGTAGCTTTGGCACTGTGTGCAGGTGCCAAGTCCTGTTGGAAAATGAAATCTGCATCTCCAAAAAGTTGGTCAGCTGCAGGAAGCATGAAGTGCTCTAAAACTTCCTGGTATGTGGCTGCGTTGACCCTGGACCTCAGAAAACACAATGGACCAACACCAGCAGATGACATGGCACCCCAAACCATCACTGACTGTGGAAACTTTACACTGGACTTCAAGCAACGTGGATGAAGTGCCTCTCTTCTTTTCCTCCAGACTCTGGGACCTTGATTTCCAAAGGAAATGCAAAATTTACTTTCATCAGAGAACATGACTTTGGACCACTCACCAGCAGTCCAGTCCTGTTTCTCTTTAGCCCAGGCAAGACGCTTCTGACGCTGTCTGTGGTTCAAGAGTGGCTTGACACAAGGAATGCGACAGCAGAAACCCATGTCTTTCATACGTCTGTGTGTGGTGGTTCTTGAAGCACTCACTCCAGCTGCAGTCCACTCTTTGTGAATCTCCCCCACATTTTTGAATGGGTTTTGTTTCACAATCCTCTCCAGGGTGCGGTTATCTCTCTTGCTTGTACACTTTTTTCGACCACATCTTTTCCTTCCCTTCGCCTCTCTATTAATGTGCTTGGACACTGAGCTCTGTGAACAGCCAGCCTCTTTAGCGATGACCTTTTGTGTCTTGCCCTCCTTGTGCAAGGTGTCGATGGTCGTCTTTTGGACACCTGTCAAGTCAGCAGTCTTCCCCATGATTGTGTAGCCTATAGAACTAGACTGAAAGACCATTTAAAGGCTTTTGCAGGTGGTTTGAGTTAATTAGCTGATTAGAGTGTGGCACCAGGGGCCATCAATTTTGAACCTTTTCACAATATTCTAATTTTCTGATATGATGAATTTGAGATTTTCATTTGTTGTCATTTGTAATCATCAAAATTAAACAAAATAAACATCTGAAATATATGAGTTTGTATGTAATGTATGAATATAATATACAAGTTTCACTTTTTAAATGGAATTACTGAAATCAATCTACTTTTTCATGATATTCTAATTTTATGACCAGCACCTGTACATAGCCTCAGTGTTGTCAGTCCAGTCCAGTTATCCAATGTCCACTATCTCAATGTCCCCTTTTGTTACCTGGATGTTCACAGGTGTCAGTGGGGTGGATCTGCTTCTGCAAAAGTCCACCAGTAGCTCATTGGTTTTCCCTACATTAATTAGAAGGTGGTTCTGCTGGCTCCAGACCACGAAGTTCTGGGTCTACTGTGTGTACTCTAGTAGTCGTCCCCAACTGGGATGAGGCCAACTATGGCAGAATCGTCAGAGAACTTCTGGAGTAGGGAGTTGATGCAGAAGTCTGCAGTGTAAAGGGTGAAGAGGAACGGTGCCAGCACTGTTCCATGTGGGACCCCCGTACTGCAAACCAACCTATCTGAGACACAGCCCTATGTATCTCTAACCATTTCTTTTTTTTTGGTTAGAATCATTGTTATTTTATCACATTTGTGTATATTCAAATGAAATTTGAGCCAAATCATTATGGAGTACAGTATAACACTATGGGTATTTTAGAAACATGGAGCTAAGGTCTTACTCATAGACCTTTAGCCAGAGTGAGAGGCATTCGTTGGGATTCATTTCAGCTGCACCACTTTCAGATTTTTCGCAATGCATATACTATGTTCTAACCCCCCAGGCCAGAACACCATTCCCCACTGTCTTTCTTGTCAAGCTGGTGATTCAATGCAGTAACATAATCAAGATGAGCATTTCAGCAGTATCTTTAAGAAACAAAGCATGTTTTAGTTGGGGGCTGTCATTTCCAAATCTGAGCTCTGAATTATTTTACAGATTGACAACCTGTTATGTCAACATGTACTTTGGAGTCTCTTATTTCAAAGGCTAAAACTAAATGTACATATAGATTTATATATAAAATGGTGCTTTGTTCTACAAGTTTGATTTTTAAACTTGGGTGATAGTTGAGGATTGATGATTAATTAAATCGTGAAAGAATGTCTGTCATAACCTTGGTACTGATGACTGACTGGATTACTCATTTCATTCACCTGTATAGCTCCGCCCAATTTCTCATTATAGCTCATCTCTTTCACCTGCTCTAGTCTACATTTAACCTGCCTGGTTTCAGTCATCAGTAACAGATTATTAGATCCCTTGATGAGAGTCTTCTAGAGAGTAGTAGTGTTTTATGATTGCCTAATCCTGATCTGTTCTGCCTGTGGACTTCTTAGCCTGCCTGCTATGCCTGTTTACGGAACCGGGACTTCTTCCTGACACTGTCTTGGATTTCCCTTTGCTACCTCTTGCCCAGACTCCTGTGAACCTACTTCACACCGGCTTTGGCTTCATCCTCTGGATTATCCTGCCTTCCTTTGTCTGCTTGGATCTTATCTCCCGCCTGCTCTTCAGTCTTCAGGTGCAGCATCCGCCGCATCTTGTCGGCAGCCGACCGGTTGGAACCAACCTCGTCCTCAGGGCACAGACTGAACTTTAAGACCGAATTAGTGACTCACACATTCGTAATCATCCTCCAGCAGATTGACATGGTCACTAACCTGTGTTTTCTTCCTGCAGGGGTTCCTGCCTTAGATGCCCTCGCTCTTCACTGCAAATTTATTGTTTTCAAATGCATGCTTTTTGAGAAATCTGACTGTCTGTCTGAATACTAGGTTCTCCGTTCTGAGATGTGACAATTTCTAAACTAAGTTATACAGGTCCAATCAGCCTTTGACTCTACCTTTGAGAATCCACCAGTGAATATTAGTTAGAATCACAAATCCACACAGAAAA